TAACATGTTCGATAAAGGTGTGATATGAAAACAAGAGCCAAATTATATGTTTAGCGAGAATAATTAATTTTTATTTGTTCCATACGTGGTTTCTCTCTGTTGTTTATTGGTTTTTGTAAAAAAATTCTGCATGGGATCCATATTCTTAGTCCTAACTGTGTTTTATTTACTACAATTAAGAAATAAAACGTTAGTATTTTTGTTTAAAAAAGTAATTTCTATATTAAAATAAGACATTCACTCGTAAACTTGATCAGCGGTATAAATTTGCTATACTGTTTAAAATCCAGAAATCTATCTAGTATTTAAAATATAAACAAGAAAAGCATTCTGTTGCTTCTGCATTGGTAAATCGATTTAAATTATCTTCTTAGGTGTACCAAATTGTTTGTTTACAATGCAGATTTGGAAGAATAAGGGCTAGCTTGGCTTAGTTTAAATAAATATTTCGTAAGCATTGTTGCACAACTTAGTAAAAACACGGATTGAGCTGAGGTTGATAAGGAGGGGTCACGAGCTCATTCAATCTTAATTTAATAAACTGAATCATTTTGCTTCGTTTAATTATTAATGATTAATTATAACTCGTTTCTTTCTATGTATATACGTTTCAATTGTAAATACTCGTAACGATGAGTTGTTAATTACGTAGTACATGTAATACAAAGTAATATATAATGCAGGATGATCCATTTATCGTAGTCCAAAACTTTGTTTTAGGTAAATGACATCGTAACGGTCTATTCAAAATAAACAATACATACACGAAAATAAATATTCTTATAAAAATTCCTTATGAAAAAAATTACTACCAGAATTTACTGACGTCCTTAAATACTACCGTATGCCTCAGTAATTGTCTACACTTAATCCAACATTGTTTCATATCTTTAGATATTAATATCACGTGCACTAAAAACCAAAATTGATAATGACTACCGTTACTGTTATTTAAACTTGTTTTTGGATCATTGTAAATGGACACCGCGTATTATATATTATATGTTGTGTTATGTACTATTATCATAAACTTAATTTAATTAAGTAGCAGAAGAGCTCCTCGGGAAAGAGTTCGTCTGGGGAAGTCAAGCAGTAATGAGAGCATTACTGCGTTCCGGTTTTGAAAGGCAAGTGTACTGGTGAAATTACAAGCACACGGGACTTGTCAACTTATATCTCAGGGTGACGAGCGTATGGGCAGTGCCCCCAAATCTTTGTGATTGAAAAACTCTGAATGGCACTGCAACTATTATGGACAGGCGTGTCGCTTACCACCAAGTGTACAACTTGTTCATCCGGTCCATCGGTATCATAAAAAAGAAAATAAAAAACAAAATTGAATGAACTATAATTATTCAAACGTATTCCAATTTAGACGTATTTTAATTACTGAGATCGAATGACAGTTTTAGTGAATTTGAGCAACTTCAAATGTGGTAGGACCTTAAATAAAAAATTTGGTACCTAAAATTTGTCAAAAGTTGTTTAATCCATTAGATATACTTGATTATTTCAAAGAAACTAGCAAAGTAACGTTTATAACTTAATTGCATAAGATAATAATAATCCTATTTCAAATATAGTCGTAAACAATGAAAAAAAAAAACAATGTAGTAGTTTTTATCATATGTGTTTACAATACAATAAATTTATTAAAAAGTTGTTTAACGAACGAATAAATTATTCATATGGTTTCTTAAATACTTATTCCGGAAATTTAAAAAAAGGAATAAGATCTGAACAGCGTTTCAGCTTTCTCAGGTTCCAAGATATGCCCCGTCGCTATCTTGTTAAGTCCCAGTTATCTGTTCCATCCTTCAATTCCAGTTTCTATTCTCACCCCTTCACTTTTCGGTCACATGTGGTCAGACTTTGGAACGCACTTCCTATTACTGTTCACGGAAGTAAATCGTTAACTATTTTCAAAATGAGAGTTGAGGAGCATTATTTATCCACTATTCCATCCATATCTCAGATATTTATTATATTATGAAACACATTTAAATTAATAAATACTTAGATAAATACACATATTTATCTAAGTATTTATATACTTTATAATAATTTAACGTTATTTATGATTTTGTTTTTCTATTATATAGACCATTTTACTTATTGTGTTCTGTAAATAAAGTATGCAGGAAATAACTTTTTTTAGAAATAATCAGAACCTTTTGTTTGTGTTTTCCTTTTATTAAATGTAATTTGTGTGTTTTTTCCTGCAATAATAAAGAAAGGAGTTATGTTTAATTAATAATTATGCATAAAAACAGAGCGTGATCGAAGTAAGCCATATCTTGTTGAGTCTATAATTAAAAATAGGTATTGAAGAATATAAGAAAAAATTATGATTAATTGAACGGAAATAAGACAAAAGTAAATAGATGTAAACGTACCTCGAAAGGCTAATCTATCACTAACTTTTTTTCAAAAGAATGTTAACTTAAATGATGTCATCGAAGTTCATGAGTTATACTCTTGGTATGCGATAATCAAAAGGTAATTAAGATATATAGAAGAAAAACAATCTATACCACACCGTGTTACCGTGAGCATCTGATAATTTTTTTTTTTATAGATTAGTGATATATGATGCACAATAATTCATTGTAACAATACTATTGTGACGTAATTCAGTCTCAAAGACATTCTTTTGACACATAAATCGATGAGTCGGAAGATCGGTGATCGATATCAATATTTGTTATCATTCTTACAGATATTTGAACTAAATTTTAACAATGACTAATTTACAGTCTTCGATGGCCTCTTATCAGTTATTATAGATACTTGTTTTGATTTGGATCCGTATTTCGCTGTGTTATGCTGCTAAATAATTTTCAGCACCCGGAATCTCACCCATTTAAATTATTTATATAAATGTTTATAGAAAATCTATTATCAGATTGTCATAAAACTTAAAATACCTCAAAGTGGGAAGTTGGTCAATGACGCAATGTTTGTACCCATTAGGCATACGTCAAAGATATTATTCACCACTGACATGTACGGACTAGTAGTTGTTACATTTTATTGTGAAATAAGAGGATATTTACATTAACGCTATAACAATTGTTTTTTTATTATTTGAACTCTGCGTAGATGAATAACGTGGATATTCTTGAGGTTATTATCGCAAGTAATTGCAAGTCAGCTAAGAACAAAAGTAATGTTCCTAAGTTTACTAGGATCAGCAGACTTTTGCAAGATACAATACTCGTAAATATATCTCAGGAGTACTAATTGCGGTGAACGCGACGGGAACAGTGCCGTGCCCGCTGTGCAGGCGCGACGATTAATTAGCCGACTGTTATCCGTGAGAAACACACTTTCAGTGAAATTACTGCTTAGTTCTCGCCACTCTTTATCTCGCAGCTTAAAGGTTATCTTAGGTTAACACAGTGTTAATTAAATATCTCTACCTGATGTTGTCAAGCCACATTTACGAATAAACGCAGCCATGTTTACTAATTAGCTTTGGTTAATCGAATTATACTACAATAGGGGCGGGATTCAACAAGCTGTCTGTCTCCTCACCGTTGAAAAGATATAATGAAAATTAAACACATAAGGATTGTTCATTAACGTCACAGAGGTGTATGACCTTTTCAGCTTGACCGTCTCTCCAATAGGTTGTAACTATTAGTAAGTACCATAGTACTGCCACATTATTTATTTCTGCCGCCAAGCAGTAATGTGAGCATTACTGCGTTCCGGTTTTAAAGGCTTACCCTTCAAAATAAATGATCGACACATTATGGGGCTTGTCAACTTATGTCTCATGTGACAAGCGTAGTGGCAGTGTCCCTCGGATCTTTAAGATTTAAAGCCCTGAGTGGCACTAGGACTGTTATGGACAGACATATCATTTAACAAAAGGCGCAAGACTTGTTCGTCCCGTCACTTGATATTATAAAGAAAAGTTACTAAAAAACGAGCTAGGTACTAAGCTGGTAGATGAGTAAATGTAGCTCTACTGTCGCATATCAACTATTGGTTTTAATTTTAATTGAACAATTTTTAATAGGAAACTCTTATTTGCGGAATACACAGCATGTATTTGAACATTGATATGACACTGGCGTAAACTATGCGTCGCAAAATCCTAGCAGGAAATTCCGAGAAGATTAAAAACATCCGCAGTTCCCTTAGCTATAAATTGGGTTGTGAGTATAGCAAGGGCCGTGTCCGCCTGCCGCTTGAATGATTTCTGACTCATGCGCTTTCGCTGAAAACGATGAAACAGACTGTCACCGGGAGTCTAGTAGACGATTTTACGACTCCCTCTTACTAAACATTAGCAATTTTATTGAAGAAACTTTGTATAAAATACAGTTAATTACGCGTAAGAAAAGGAAATAAAATAGTGACTAAGATATACCCAATATGTCATATTTGATTACCTAATCAATTAAAAATAGTCTTTAAAATCCAGAGAATAAATACCCTGTACACCCTATTTTTTTTTCATTTAAATTGTTTGTAATATAGAAATTATTTCTAATGGATTTCAGTTAACAGTTGTAATGCCGTGTAAAGTTGTAATTAATTAAGAAAATTTACGCGTATAATAGTTTATGCGTCCCACTGTTGGGCGCGGGTCTCCTCTCAGGCGTTAGTTTAGGCCGTAGTTCGTCACGCTGACCCCATGCGGGTTGGGAACTTCACATCTTCGCCGAGGTTTGTGAACCAAGAAGGTTCACAAACCTCGGTGTGCAACTATGGTAAATTTCAACTTTTTTGGTAATATAAATTTAAAACGCTTTGCAGGACTATAAACGTATATTTTGTTTCCCTTCTTGTGGAATACTAATGTTGTTCCAAAATTCAATAATTTAAATTATTTCATTTTTATAAATAAGCAAATTACACTTGAAACGTCAAATTGATTAAACACAACTCATCATTCGTCGATTGACGGTCACTGACTTACATGACAATTGACTTAAAAACATCGGAATAGTACAGTTTGTGTTACCAACACATAAAATGTCTCCAGATTGTGGCGTAGGCGTGTTGTGAATGTTTCCTACAAAGTAGGACGGGGTAAAATCTGCCAAAAATAAATTTCGCTGTGAATGATTAAGTCCATAAAACTTTATGCAATAAAATATTAATAACCTACTTATACAAAGTATAAAATCTGTTTAGTGTTCTTTATGGTTTGATTTCTTATAATGGATGACTTGTATATTATTGTAAAGCTTGTATAAAAATGTAGTGTCATAGTATCTTATCATTGGTCATAATTAAGTATAAGACTGGAAATCAATTGCAAATAGGTGAAGTTATATTTCTTTCAAAGAACAAATGTTTGAATAAGTACCTCCGCAATAAAATTAATATCTAATAACAATAAGTAAACCAGAATTTATACAAATTTCTTACCATATAATATATACCTATTAAAGTACCGTAAAAGTAAGTAACTTAAGGGTCTTGAATGAAATCTTGTTATTTTTTATTTGAATATAATAAAAAAACAGGTAGGTGTAATAGTTTTTTTTATCAAGTTATAGATACGTGTGATATATTGTAACTTTCTAAATTTATGCGATTGAAATTAAAGCAATATGCTGTGTCGTAGGTAGGTATCTCGTATATTTAGTAGATGAATATCGTATTAGGCTTACCACATCATTTACTGGTTTTGGTACCTCCGTCTGTAAAGTAATTTACATTCAACGATATTTGTACTACGAATTTAAATGTAAATACCAATTCTTGCGTGTAAGCTATTTCTAAAATTAGTATTAGTCTTCTTTTACTGATTTTGCTTAAAATCTATTGAAATCGGTTTGCATTGTTAATAAAAAAAATACTTAAATAAGGAAAACACATTTTTTTACTTTAGTTACTTATATTAAGTGGAGACATGCAAATGTACTGTACGAATCTGTATTTTATTTACTTAAGTTGACGTATAGTGAGGTTACATCAACATCACATAGTGCGTTTAACTATGTAGCTTTAACTTGTCTCGTACTTATTAGTGTTCAACTTTCTAACTTAAGTTAATATGGTTAAAAGAAATACGGATAGCTTCCATGAAATAAAATTGCAAACATACCTTAAAATTCAGATCGCAAATAATCTCCAGCACTAACAAACAAATTAACGTCACTTTTTAGATGCACTTGGAAAATGGTTAAGTTACAAAACCAAGCACTTTACAGTAAAGTCCTACGATTTGCGAAAGCACATTGGAAACTGGTAAAAGTTGAGTTAATTAATGGAATGTTAAAGTTTGTTGTCATGTATCGGAGGGTTATCGGGCGTGTTGGCGCGTGGAATCGCGGAGGGCCGCGCAGACTGGCGGCGGCAAGGCAGCGCGTGCACTGAGTGGCGAATGGTCGGAGTCGTGGCCGGTCCGGTGCGGTGGTGTGGTGCGCCGGTCGCGAGCGCTCTGCCCCGCGCGTGCGCCACTCCGCCGCTACGACGAGTTCCCGACGGCAGCCTCCCATACACCAACCTGCCGATGCCGCCAGCTAACGCCACAAACCGCTGCATGCAACGTCCGCAATGCGCTACTTAGATATCAAGACCACACACTTCAATAGGCATACTTGTTTTGTCTCCCTTCTTATCAAAAGCACATTTGTTACGATAGCTGGGCCACTAAATTATTACATATTTGTTTATTGATCTATTATTAAAGACATATGTATTGTAAACAAAATCAAATACAAAACAGTGAGTAACTCGCACGATAATTAGGCGTATTTTTTAAGACTACATTATTTCTTTTTATATTCATATCCCGTAAACCAGTTTCTATTAATTAAACAAGAAAAACTTATTTCCAGGACCTAAGTATTCACAGAACTATATTATATTGCGATTATATTAATTACAATACGGAGCTACGATCCAATGGAATAGAAAAGAATAAGAAAAATATAATTTCAGAATGTATTACTTTGCTTAAGCAAGTATTGCACTGCACAGAAATATTCTTTCTAAGCATTAAGTCACTTAGTGCACTCTCCACGACCATAGGTATTATGTACCTTAGCAAAACATTTGTTGCACAAGCCAAGATAATAATAATAATAATAATATTTATTTATAAATCATAACGAATAAATTGGTTCCCTGCAATATTTTTATAAGTCGAAGTTATTAAGATCATAGCAGTGTGTGTAGCCTTTGTGCACAAACAAAGGTTGCGGTTTCACTATCCACGCTTGACGCCTGCTTGTACGACACAGATCATTATCTGACATTATCGACCAATGTGATTAACTATAAAGTGATAATCGCACCATAATAATCAGCTTTACTCGGATTGATCACTCGTTCAAGAAATTATATTTGCTGGGAACCTTTGATATTCTACATAATTCCGTTCTTAGTTAAAATTAGTTTTAGATAATCGCCACCTCTTGTTTTGAACATTGTATATGAAGTATAAGTTAGCCTTTATCTTGTATTCTACAGAACAAAAGCAATAACTACAAAAACAACGACACATAATACGCAGCAGGAAATACAAAGAACTTAAAAGTTGCTGCAGAATTTAATTTTATCGATGTATGAAAATGTAAAAAGAAGCGTTGGAGTGGAGTACAGAATGTCGCCATTTCTATTACGTAGGTTCTTTTCAATGTTGTCAAGTTATGGAACGTTTGGGTGAATTAGTTATGTATATATATATATTGCAATAAGCTATACAGTCGTAACAAAAAGGTCGGACTAGCTACTTTAGGAAAAAAGCCTTTTTTTAAATAGAACGCCTACAGAAACATATTCGATCAATCGAACATTTTTGTGTAACTGCCTCCTCCATCGACATCCCACATTTTTGTCACCCTCTTTACTTGTTCCTGGTACCTACTTCAAAAATTTTGAATCGTTCGTATTCCTAAGCTTCACGTCGTTTACCATCAAAATAATATAGATATATCGCACATGAAACCAAACACTGTCCTAACTCAAAATTGCGGAATTGAGAAAACACGTAGTAGTTCCTCGTGAAAGAGTTCCTCCAGGGAAGTACTGCCACCTTACCTATATCTGCTGCCTAGCAGTAATACCAATATTACTGTGTTCCAGTTTTGAGGGGTAAGGGTGATGGTGAAATTGAGACAGGCACATGAGACTTGTCAATTTACGTCTCAGGGTGACGGGCGCAGTGGTAGTGCCCCTCAAATCTTTGCGATTTAAAGCTCTGAGTGGCTCTGTAACTGTTATGGACAGGCGTGTAGCTTACTATCAAACGCACGACTTGTTCGTCCCGTCACTTGATATTATATAAAAAAACACAATTTGAAATTAAAAAATAGTAAATAGATCTTATTACGCATAATGTGATTATTTTTATTTATAATATATAATACTTAAATGTCCATTTTTAAATACAAAAAAATACTGGTTTCATTCGTTATTTCTTTTTATTGCTTTCAAATCGTGTTTTCACAATTCCACAACATTGAGTTACGACAGTATTAGTGGATTCGTGTGCGATACAGGCTCTTTTGGACTGACTATTGTGTATTGTGTTTAGTTCTGTATAGGGAGTGTTTTATATTAATTGTATTTCTTTATATCATCTTATTTGGTCCAGCATCTTCTTTTCCTCTTTTTACAATAAATTATGTGGACCGAGCCTTTTGCATTCTCATTTGCTAAGTCTAGATTACAAAACAAAACATATTTTTCATGATTTTACAATATTTCCTTGCTAAAGTTGTTCCACCAATAACAGAAATATGGTAGGACCTTCCAGTTCCACTAGTACTAAATCCTTATGCAACATAACATACGTCTAATAGAATGCGTCACAGAGAAACAACCAGTGACAAAATTATTGCACGTACCAGGTATTATGAAAATGCGTTCTGTAAATGTCCTACAGCAAACCAGTAGGTATAATTACGTTGGAAATAATTGTATATTGGCATGTATCTCAACGAGCTGTGTAATTTCCCGTGTTCTATCTAATATGATCGGCGCGACAAGGCGCCAGGCTCGGCGGCTTCTCATAAAGGTCGATTATGCTAATACGTCAGCGGCTAACAACCGACTACTGAACACGACATTTCTCGACCATATAACAGCTTATAAATTATTGAATAAATTCTAAGTGTAGCTCGTATCAATCAATCTCTGCCGGCGACGGTTTTTGCAAGCGCGTGGAGGAATGTCAAGTTTGTTTAGATAAAGAATTCCCATCACTAGATACAGAAGAAACCCGTAATGTTTTCCTAATAAACAAGATAGGTTTAACAGGCAGGCATACAGCTGAAGATTGTCGGTATGATATAGGTTTTATCCGTGCGATAATGATGTACCACTTGTTAAGAATCGTAACGTATAATTTGTTGTACGTCCTCGCAATTTTCAATACTTTGGCGTAATACTATTATATTGGAGTTGAAGTCATGTTATCTAGGTGCTCGTAAAATTGGCAAATTTTTGCATTGAATACGTTTTGTTTGTAGTGGAAAATTACATATGAAGTAAATAACTAAATATTTAATGAGGTTATCATCACAACATATCGACTGGGAGCAGTGACTATAGAATAGACTCCAACGACTGTCGTACTCAACTTAATCGATAAATCCTAATAATGTTTTATATGTTATCGCTTGCACGTCACTTCCATGTTTGATAACATCGATTTATATGCGGAATTACTGCACTTATTACATTTATTTAATATGCTTCCGCCTTAGTTAATACATGTTTTACTCTACAAAAAATATGTTAATTGAACGGTACGAGACTGGAAAAAAGTTTTATTTTTGAAATTTCATTTTTTTGAAAAAGTTTCATTTGAATGAAACGAAAATAAACATGGTAAATTCAGATGGAAAGCGCTATGTTAGCTGTAAACAGTGCTTTTAATTATAAATACTCAAGGAGCTTAGTCAAGCACGGTGGCGGAAACATTAAAGTTTGGGGGTGTTTTTCCGGATGTAGAGTTGGTCCCGTTCGGAAGATTGAAGGTACAAATCGGTACAATGGATCAATGGCAGTACAAAAATATCTTAGAGGACACAATGATTCCCTACTCGGATGATCATTTGCCTGTAACCTGGATCTTTCAGCATGACAATGATCCTAAACACACGGCCTTAGCGAACAGCATATATCCTTTTTAGACTGGCCAGCAAATAGTCCGGATTTAAACCCGATAGAAAATCTGTGGTATATTGTTAAGAAGAAAGTCTCAAACAAACGTAACACCAGTCAAAACGAATTATATGAAGCATTTGTTGAAGCATGGAATTCAATCCCCCTAGAAAAATGTATGACATTGATTGAATCAATGTCACGTCGTTGCAGAGCTGGTATTGAAAATAAGGGATACGCTACTAAATATTAATTATAAATATTGGTAGGCTGTGGATAGTAGTTCATAAATAAAAATACTAATTGTTAATAATAAAAAAAATGTTGTTTTTTTACACTTTTTTGTTGTTGTTTCTAATTAGTTGTCCATTATTGTTTATACCTTAAAACTGATTTAAGTGTTTGTCCGTAATGTAATATTGAAACTGCACTTGTGTAGTGGGGTTTATAGTTTTTCTAATAAATAATAAATCGTTGAACCTATTATAACCTATTATAAGTATAACCTATTGTTGTCCTATTTATTGTTTGATTTCAAAATAAAAACGATTGCGGTGAAGTTTCTTACATAATGTCAAGGACCGTTTGTAGTGTTTCTAATTATACGA